GGAGGCTCCTGCAGCGCTGGGGAGCCGGCCGGGAGCCCTGGGGTGCTCCCTCGTGAGCCGCCAACACGTAATACCCAGAGCCGGTGCCAAGTGGAGTTAGTGGGAGGGAGAGCTCTAAGGGGAAAAGCGGCTTCGCTGAAGCCTCGCTTTTCCTCATCGCCGGCGTACCCGAAGAACGCCTGGAGGAGCATGCAGCCGTGCCGAGGCTGCGTTTCGGGTTTTCGGCCACCCTCTTCCCTCGCACGGGGCAGGGGAGCGTTCCTGTCGACGAACGCGCTGCCTGTGCGCAGCACCCAGCTCTCGCTGCGCCCCTTCCCGGGTACCTCAGTAAAAATCTGCTCCTGGCAGAGGTAAAAAAATACCAGACAAAAAGCACCACCAGAAAAACCCAACTGGATGTCTAGAAAATGTGACAGAAAAAGCTCAAAATAGAGTAACACCCTCAGATCAGTATTTTTAGAACATAAAAGGCTGAGCAGCTGCACTGAAAAGAAAGGGGAAACTTTAAGCTTTGATTTTTACAAAGTCTACAGGCAGGCACAGAGCTTTCGGGGAAGAAGCACAGGTTGGCAGTGCCCCGATTTTAAAACTGCTCATTACAGCCATCGGCGTGAGCGTACACGAGGGACAAAACCCAAGGATCCATCAGCAGCTGCAAGCTCGCTCGCACTTCCAAGGAAACCATCTGCAAACAGCTCATCTGAAACACGCTGCCCAACGTTTTTTGTACGTGAACAATTAAGTCACAAAACATTTGTTAGGGAAGAAGTGAGTAAATTTCCACGTCATTTATAAAGGAAGACAACAAAGTTAGCTATACAGTTATTCCTTCCAGTTGTTCTTCCATCTATTTTGGCAAGTAGAAAGGAACAGTTTGCCTTGCAATGAGGCACAACATTGTTTTATCACTTGCCACCTGTTTGAAGGATCACTGCTTGATCCTATTTGAAGCAGAAAGGGTCTCTCCCTGTCTGGGTCACTCTTACTATAGCCAGTTCCAGCCATAACTGCTCACCAGGTGGATCTGGCAGCTGCTGTATTCTTGAAGGGACTACATGTTTAGTTCAGATTTAGTTATTTTGGGGACTAGCTCATCCACTGGTATATTCATATGCCTTAAAAGAGATTTCAGACCTGTAAGACTATAGCAAGTCATACATCAAAGCAAAGATGTAGAAATCCAGAGCTTTTTAAGGACAAAAAAGTCTCTCATTGGGCTGACCCAGGGGTGCTTTGAGCTGTTCTGGTACCTCATCTGCTTCACATCTCCCACACGCTGGTGGGAGAGGGGAGAGCAAGCAATGGGGCCTCTTGTGAGCTCTCCTTTAGCACTAGCACACATCACTACCAATAGTCCTGAGTTTTTAGTTAAAATTATCATCTTCTAAAGCAATAATGTGAAAGCATATGAAGTGCTCGTACCAATGAAGTATTCTTGTTGGACAATCTTCCCTGTGGTTTATCTGCAAAAATCTAAAACCTGGTGGTGCTGCAGCGTAAGAGATATTGCAGAAATTACCATCAGTGTTGCTGCAACACAGTTAAAATTGTTGTTGTTGGAGCAATACAAATTTATTGGAACGCCTGAAGATACACAGCACCACAGCCTAACCTTTATGTTAAACTATCAAAAAGTAAAGCAAACCAAAAAAAGACATCCAAAAATTCTACTGAAAAACTTCTGAAGGAAACAGCCACCTGTTGGGGGTTTTTTGTCCTTTTTTTAAAAGCATATGGCCAAACATTTGAGGATAAAGCAAAAAAAAAATATTAATTGTACTTTATGCTTTATTATTTTGTGATCAATACAGCATTTTCACACACAGCATTTCCTCCCAGATGACCCCAAGGTGCTGGTCAATAGAGGGGACAGGACACACTCCGAGCTGGGGAGCAGGTCTCTGCTGCTTTCACCTTGTTCAGGCATTGGTGTTGGACAAAGCTGCCTTTGGCCCTCTGGCCATTTCCACCCACCACCCAGGTACCTGCTGGCAGGGCAGCGAAGCGTCAGGCTCTTGTGTACGCTGCCCCAAAATGCAGCTGGGGCCCCACACCCCACAGTTAGAGCCATCCAGGAGGAAGATCAAGGTGTGGAGCTGCGGCTACAGGGAATATCCCCAGACATTCAGGCTGTAACCCCAGGGCTCAGATTCACCCATGCTCCAGGGTTGATATCCCCACTCACTTACAAAGAGCTCTGGTATCTGCTAGTGTCATAAGTGACACAGGCCTCCCTCTCGTGACTTTCTCAAAAACTGTACTGAATTCAAATTAACACTTTATTTCTATATAACACCTGAAAAACCACAGCAGAGAAGCACAACAGAAATAAGCATATTATGCAGCAAGTCAGCAGACTTAATGTTCATCATGTAAAGACTTGCCTGTTCAATGGTCTCTCTCACACATCTTTAATTTATTATTTTTTTTTTATTTAGAAAGGGCAGGTGCAGCATTATTAGAATCACCGCTATCTTAAGTCTGATATGCATGATCTAATCTCATGGTGTGTGATCCAGCCACAAACAAGTAAGATGTCCTTTTGCTTCAATACTGCCTGCATACGGTTTCGTTTTCACATCAATTTAAAGACAATATCAAAAAATCCATTTTGTTTACCCGGTTAACAAGTACACTTGCAATGCTCGCTTAAGTCAGCATGCCATTTCACAGGCAATCCAAAGCTATTACTAATAAATACAATACTATATAAAAACTTAATTTACTTTTTATATCTCTGCTGGTGCCTCTTTTTAATGCTTTCTTGCTCCTTTTCTATTCACTGTGTGAAGTATCAGGCACCATTCCTCTGCTGAAATACAAACACTTCCAGCTATAACGAACACACAGGTAAAAGCACATTTTGTTCAGAAATGCCTGTCGAGCTATACAGACAAAATTGCTGTGACATCAATACAGTATCATCATATCAGGATGATATTATCTACACTTTGTGGATGACAAGTACAACACTAATGGCACCTAGCTACATCAAAACTCTTATCGAAACTATCTTGCCACTACTCTGCCTGGCTTTGTCTCTGCTTGCAGGTGCATCGTGTCCTGCACAACAGCAGTGCTGCCCACAGCCCCCCCAGGTTGTCACCTCTGCACACAAAGGCCAGGTGCACAGAAGGGTCAATTTAATTCAGAAGTGAATTGTTAAGATAGTAAAACAACCTCCTCTTACTTACCTTCATAAGTGACTTCACGTGCTGTATATGACATCTTCCCACACATTAATTCCCTTCCAATGCATCTCTGACACCAAGCTCCCAGCTTTGCATCCCGCGTGCTGAGCTAAAGCCGATCACAGAAGGACTTGGTCCAGCTCTGCCTTTGTAGGTGATTTCACACCACCTCTGTTGGCTGTAGCATTTTGCAAGTGCCTGAGCACCCACACCTGCAGCAGGATGCTGATTTATCGGTTCCAAATAGGAAGATAACACTGTAATCCTCCTCACTTCAGCATGACTAAAAAGGCATCAGCCTTTCCGTGATGTTTTTCCATCAGCCTTCCTCTATTAGATGCTTTTTTCCAGGGGGTGTGTGCCAAAGGGTCTCTGGCTGCAGCTGTGCTGGGTTTAACGCCTGATTTCTTGTGAGAAAGTGCCATCCCGTGGCGAAGTGTGAAATCCTTGCTGCTTCGTGTCTGAAAACTAACGTCAGGCAAAGCCACCTCAGGCAACTATAATCCCTGTATCATAGCACAGATGTGCTGCAGCAAGGCCAATTGCCAACCTCCCATCCTCACTCATCCCCAGCCTGCACGGCCTTTTGGCACTAAATCTGAACTACAGCAGTCCAGCTCCCACATCATTAGTTTCTGGCTTCCTCAGTTTTACATGGACACTTAGTTTTTATTACACCTGTTCATTATCATTCTTTGGGGGACAACTATTGTTATTTTTCACTGTTAGCAAGGTCTGGCTTAATCACGGGGTTTGGAAGTTGAAGATGACATTAAAATAAACAAACCAAAACTAATCATCACCCTACTGTATGGAGAGTTTCACAGACTTTCATCTCAAACCAAAACTACTGCTGGAAGGACCCTTGACATGACCATGGGCAGGAATGTCCCGCCTCAAGCCTCTAATGCAAGAAAATAATGGAGATGTTTCTCGTACACCACCCAGATACTCAAAGTTGGACAATTAGACAGGTTTTTGCTTTCCCAACTCAAGCCAACTTAGGTCCTGAGAGTTAATGGAAATCAAGCACATTTAGGCGTTTTATCCACAAAAACAGAGAAATAGAAACCACTACCTTTATTTTTTATTTAATACAAATTAAATTTTAAGCTGCTTTCCAGCTGGGTAGCCCCAGCATGTCCTGGTGCCTGGGGCTGTTCCTCCCCAGAGGCAGGACTTGGCCCTTCCCCTTGCTGAACTTCATGAGGTCTCTCTCAGCCCATTTCTCCAGCCTGTCCAGGTCCCTCTGGATGGCAGCACGACCCTCTGGTGCACCAGCCACTGCTCCCGGTTTGGTGTCCTCTGCCAACTTGCTGAGGGTGCACCCTGCCCCATCATCCACGTCATTAATGAAGGTGTTAATCAGGATCAGACCCAGTGTTGACCTATGGGTACATCACTAGTTACTGGCCTCCAGCTAGACTTCATGCCACTGATGGCCACCCTCTGGGCTCCACTGCTCAGCCAGTTTTTGGTCCACACTTCTTCGGCTTACTCTAATCAATGCACACAAACTCTAATAAGATTTTTTTTTTTATTAATCACACACAGTTGAGCCATATGTTGAACTATATTAGCATCAAACAGTGCTGTATCTGTAGTAACAGCAGGTCCAGCAAGATAAATCCAGGAGAGGTCTCAGTCCATTCACTGCCTTGAGAAACAGCAGAATACACCAATAATATCTCTCAGAAAAACTTACAGTGGAGATGTCTTTTATACTTAGAAACCATGGGAATCTTGACATGGCAGACTCAGCTGGACACTGGAATCCTCGGATACTGGTTGTTGGGCTAAGGGGTTACCTCAGATAAATGTATTAAGCCCAAGTTCAGGAGCAGCTATTTTCCCCTCCTCAGTAAAAGAGTCTATAGGTAGGCCTTTAATTTTCCTTAACCAGGCCTTCTTGCATGCTCTTTGCTGATCTTCCATGAGCTTTGTCTGGTGTGCCTGATACTGAGCTATGGTAGCTGCCTCATACGCCTCCTTCTGTTTTCCTGTCAGAAGCCTGAACCCATTGTCACTCTGGGAAGGATCTGCAGCATATGGACAAAAGGGATTTTTTCTCCTGGAAATCACTTCATTTTTCATTTGTGCAATCACACATGTTGATTTGATCAGTTCAGAAGAAGCTGTAAAGGAGTCAATAAGCTGAACCCCATCTTCAGGGAGAGGAATGACTTCACCGTGACGACTGTGAGCTTTCTCTTCTCCCAGCAAACCACAAGTCTTGGGACGTACAACAGAGGGAGCAGGGATGGAGGAATTCACAGTGGGTCCATGCAAAGAGTTTTTCAGCTTGAGCTGCAGCATTTTGGTTTCAAAAGGTATAGAAATTCTTTTCATAGTCAGAGAATCGCTGTGCAGTCTCACACGTTGGAGCTGGACTGTCTGATCCTTTTTGTGTTGCAGAGGTGTTTTGTATATTTGTACCTTTTCAGGGCAGTGTTGCCGATGTTCCCATGGAGGTTCCCATGCTTCCCTGACTTTTGCAGTGTGCTTAACAGTGGAGCTGACTGGGGCTGCCTTGCAGACGTTCTGCAGCATGCTGACGGTTAAGAGGAGCTTGTCAGGGGTCATTGGACAACTTGGACCTCTTCTCTTTTCATGCTGCAAAGTGTCACGATGTGCAGATGCATAGAGAGAAGGGCCATGTTCAGATTTGCCATCTGTTTCCAAAAATAAAATACAGCTGAAGTCGAGGATAGTTTTTGTGATCATTGTTGGCAGGCTAGTACTCTGAGTAAGACCAAGGATGGGTGCTGGATTGACAGGCATATGGACAGTCCGAGTTTATCTACAGAACAGGCAGCATGGGAAGCTACAAGCCAATGGTGCCCATTTCAGTTTGCTCATCCTCGGCCTCACTAGTGATGCTGCCAACATCAGAGGTAACTGTCTCTTGGTTGCCTGAGAAGTGTTCTTGCCATAGCCTGTGCAGGTCAGACTAAAGTCAGATTCTGTAACATACATTGTATTTGTGTGTGGATGGCTTGGTTTCTCAAAGGAAGGAGGTTCCCCACCACCTCTTCCCATGCACCCCTTTCTTGTCCTACAGTTCATGCGTTGGGAAAAGACTTCAAGACAAGTCAGTTCCTGGTAGAAATTTTTGAAGTAGCCAACACCCGAGAACCACTTCGAACCATTACTGCTCAGAGCTGCATTTGAATTGGAAATCACAAGACATGCTTCATAGCCTAGCTTTGCTGCCTCAAGGGACATAGGGAGTGACCTGTGCTGTATGACAAACATCAAGATGGACTGCGTGATTATGACCTTGACTAAGAACTAGATGGGGATTATGATATAGACCGTGTAAGACGCTCAGTCCCATGGCCTTGCCATAGCGATTAATTTGTCACTTTGTAATGTCATGCCATTCGCGTATCATTGCTTTGCAGTACAATTCTGTTTTTCCAGACTGGTTAACTGAAACTTCCGCCCTCTAGAAATGTATTTCAGCGAACATTAAGTTACAGTGCAGAAAGGCAGAATACAGCAAACTAATGAAAATTACTGCTTGTTCCTCATTCACAGAATTTAGAACTGTTTAATCTGCACATAACATATGACCCTGCATCTTAGTTACAAACAGTAGGACTTTGGGGTTAGACACTTTCAATCGGTACAGCTCTTCTGAAGTAAGATGTCAGAGTATGTCTTAAGCTTCAAGATCCCAACAGATTCTGAATATAAAACCTGAGAAAAACTAACTTAAGGAGGCAAATGCCAAATGGCCACAGAGCATCTTTGTGATCTCAGTACTATCTCATTTTCAAGTTTCAGGTTGCCATGTCTTTGCTGGCTGAGACAATTCACATATAATTTTTTTAAAACTATTTTCTGAGCTACTGCTATTGATTAAATACCAAGTACTTGAATAAATTTTGTGCAGAATTCTCCTACACCTGATAAAGAAATAAAAAATAGAATAAGGGTACAATAAAGAAACCTAGATACCAGAGAACTAAGCCTTATAGCTAGAGCTGACCACTTGTCCTGTTTATTTGATTGATCTAAAGCAGCTTCTGTAGCCATCACAGGCTCTGCAAGTGATCTATTTTACCACTGCAAACCTTTCATCCAGAATGGGCCTGGCTTCTAGAGATCCTTACCTTTTGTTTAATCCATTCATTTATCTTTCATGCACTTGTTTGAAGAATTACTGTCCTACCTAGCTGCAAAGAGTCCTTACCAGTATGTGCCAGGATTCTTGCAGAATGTGCTTTTGCTGACTTTCCTGAGGCAAAGGCACAGGGCTGTGTGGTGCTGGGAATGAAAAGATTTTTCTGCTGCTCTGCCTGGATGCGAAAAGCCTTTTCAATCTTGAGAAAATGCTGCTGCTGCTGGCAAGCTGCTGATTTCCTCAGTTCATAGCAGAGAGCTAGAAAACAGAAGAATAAGTCATCTCTAAACTTTGCTGCTGTTAAACTTTTTTTTTTTAATTAAATAAAATCTTCATCACTGACGGGATTACAAGTCTTTGGTTACTGTTTTGGCTCTTATCGCAGTTTCTAAAGGTCTAGGTATTCGAAATAATAAAAAAATATTTGATTAGCAGAAAACCTCACAGAATTCAAAGATGAAAGCAAATGTTGATTTTTTAAAAAAATATTATGTATACACAACCCATACTTTTTTTGCCACTAAAATGAAAATATAGTGCACTCCCCGTTTGTTTCCCATTTCTACAAATTGTACGTCTTTCACCAAGTAGAGCTGCATCAAGGAGTTTAGCATCTGATATCCTTAAAAGCTTGAAAACTTTCTTAGCCCATCAGTTTATCTGCAGTATACATTTTGATTGTAGAGCTGGAAGAGTTGTGATACATAGTGTATTAAATAACTCTGATTTAAAAAAAAATAACATCACCGTGCTACAATTTAATAGTGCCTGTTTATGTGCAGTTGCATTTCCCGGTGATGGCAGATCCTGAATGCAGGTGTCCTATAACTTTCTAGAGTATTTTAAAATAAATAATTCAAGCACTGAATCAGCAACATGTTTCCATGCACGCCAGCTGTAAGAATGAATAATACTACTGATTTCTCTATTACTCAGTTGGAAAATGACAGTGCCTGTTTTGACAAACCTGTTGAATTTATACCAAACCTTTCTGAAAAGGTACAAAGGTTTTACAAAAGCCTAAAAATGACAGAACCATTGAAATGCAACAGCATTTACCAGACTGCCCTTTAAAAAAAGCAGGGAGTCTGTATATTGATTAGGATGAAGGCAGTGGGTACTTGAAATTATTTCTAGGTCATTTTAGAAAATGCCAGCGTATTGCCGAGGCTGTACGTAATACTTTGAGATGCTCCACAGCTTTTTGGTGACCGGCAGCAGATCCAGCAAGGCAGCATGAGCTGGTCAGCATCTTGTGTCTCCAGAGCAAGCTGATGCAGCTGGCTGAGGTCGTGGCGTTTTGGTCGCTGAAGGTGAAGCCGTGTCCTACTGGAAGTCCCCTTGTGCTGTTTTTTCTTCCCCACCTTCTCTCTGTCAGCATCTAAGGTATAGTCCCACCTGACATCCTCAAACTGGAACATCAACAGACTAGTTGGCGAATTGATCACCATCCTGGAGATGGGAAGGTAAAGCTGATAAAAGCACAAATAACAATAACACAGCAGTTACTACCTAAGGGGCCCATTTGCTTCTGTGCAGTACAAAACTGGAGCTTCAGCAGATCTGAGATAACCATCACTTGTTTAAGGAAGCGGTAGCAATTAGTCCCATCAGTCAGACTCTGTACATTTTAATTCATACTTTGTATGAGCTCTGTGGGGCTCTTTTCATTCAGCTCTGTGGCAAAATTAGTTTTAAAACTAATTAGGATGAAAATTGCCAACAGTGGACTGAGCTAGATCAGTGCAATGCCAAAAGAAACTGGAGATACCATATTATTAGGGACATTTAAACCTAAATCGGAGGGGTGTACCAGGTCTGATTGAGATGGAGTTACTTTTCTTCATAGCAGCCCAAATATTGCTGTGTTTTAGAGTTGTGAACAAAACAGCGTTGGTAACACACCAGTGTTTTAGCTATTGCTTACACAGAAGCTGGGAACTACCTTTAGTTTAGAGGTACAGAAGTGAATGAACCTGGAAAGATTTTTCATTATTGGCTTTTATAAAGAGAGAGTAGATCAGGGAACAGGCAAAGATTTTGTCAGGCCTCGGCTTGATTCTCCAACCTCTTAAGAAATTTGGGTTCTGATTTCAGCTTTACAGTTGGATCTGTACCTTAAGTTGTATAGAAACAGGAAATTGTACATTGCTGAATGGACTAGAAAAATCTCTTTTCAGCCATTGTTAACAAAACCAGATTATTAAAGCAGTCAATAAGCAGTAGAGCCCTTTAAAACTTATCTGTGAGAAGGATGGTAAAAGGAAAAATACACAATTCCTTAAATTACCATGTAATCTACCTAATTTGGTTCAGAGACTGATGGCAGCTGTTGTCACCAACCTGTTTCCTGCAACATAGAAAGAAGATATCGGGTCCCCTCTGCTGCTGGCCATCAACACTTTCAGGCAGCTTCCAGTCAAGTAGTTAAATATGCGAATCTTTCCATCAGCACAGCCGCTGATGACCCTGAGATAGAGGAACTCCAGAGACAGAACTTCCCTGAAAACACAGCACGTAAGTGTTGGTACATTCACCATGCTTTCACATGGAGACATGATCAACTACCTCTTTTGTCTTGGAGGAGATGCAAAGGTCTGCCTCCACCAAGAGGCTAAACAGAGGGGGTGATCAAGATATTTAAAATGTCTAATAGTGAAATCCTTTGTAATGACTCCATATCCAAACTAACCAACCAACCCACCCAGTGCATCCTCACAGCAACCAGTACAGTTATGGTCATCTGCTGCATTTTAAATTTAATTTTTATGTCTAGGAAAGTAAATGAAAAAAATATGATGTTACAGTTTTCACGGTTCTAATATACAATTAAAGTATTAGAAAATGGCATAACATACAGTTGGTAGGGTTCAGCATGTAACTCAGCCACCTCCAACATAGACAGTGTCTATTCTTGACCAGGTAGTGTGATACCCTGTTGCATACAGGTTGGGATCCTTGAAATATTGGACTATGCGCTGTCAGTCTTAAGTTATCCCTGTTTGTGAACAAGTGGTTGCGTATTTGCATTTTAGGTTGTTCTAGGTCTTAACTGACAAACACTGGTTGCAACCACGTAGTGCCTGACACTGTTTTTAAGATGAAGATTGTTGAAAGTGAGGATGTTTCAAATACTAGGACTGATAATTAAGGCATTTTCTGTTCCTATAAGGGAGACATTTTCTTTACAGATTTAGTGGACTGTTGAATACAACTTGAAACACATCCAATTCCTACTTAGGGTGGCGGAAAGCTATTAGGCATCTTTTAAGGTTTCCCAACATGCTCCATCCCAGGACATATCCATCGGTGCTTCCTGTGACTAGGTGCCACTGATCAAAGGACAAGCACTTAACTGGGCCTTGGTGCCCCTCTAATGTCTGCAAAGTAAAAGAAATAGGTACAACACTGTCAGCAATCTGGATGGAGATACGTCAAGATATCTTATGGCATTCACAATACCAGCCTTACGTACTATATTGTAGTTTTATCAGGTGTTATTATAATATACGAATACACCCTGTGGATTACCGTGTTAGTTTTATAGTTGCTGATGAGAAATATTCTGGGCATGTTGCTGCTGATGAGCTACTAGCGTGGAATTAACATCCATTTTCCATCCTTATTACATGCACCAAATAGATGTTACTGCACGAAGATGTTTGTGATCTAGTGAATGATCGCCCAGGAGAGAAGAGAGTGGACTGCCCTGACTATAGTGGAAGGGGCAATTGCAAACTTAGCTCAGCTGGAAGAGGGATAGCTTGCATTGGAGGCGCATCTCAATTTGCAACTCTCTTCCCCACAGGTAGAAAGAGCTTCACTCCTCTCAGAGATGTGGACTAATACTAATTCTGGACACCTGCTAAGGTAATTACCAGAGTCTGGCCTCAATCTTTACGTTGCAGAGCAGCTATCCAGCTGTTCCAGCTTTATAAACTGGTTCTGAGAGCAAGGTTCATGTTTTGGGCTAACCCATGATACATCTGACCCAGAGAGCTGTTAGTCAAGCCCTCCCACCCTCTTCCCAGGTTCTGAATATTTCTACAGGAGAAGAGATGAATGTATCTACAGAGAACAAGTAATGATGGGGGCTAAGCAAAGCAAGTCAAAGCCTGGGTTAAAATTGACAGTTGTTTGCAAGTCAGTTTTTATACTATTTCCTCACCAATAAATCTGCAGTTTATCAGTTTAAATGGCTTTTGGTTTTGTTTTTTTTTTATTTTTTTTTTTTAAACAAAGTCTTTGGCATAAGCAAAAAGCTCTAAAACTGGCACAGATTTTTTTGACAATTTAGCACAAAATTATCCTCCTAAGAAACTTACTTTGATCAGAGTGCCCGTATCAGCACACCAGACTTTCACCAGCCCTCGGTCACACCCACTGACAACATGGGTGCCATCCATTTTAACTACGCAAACAGCACTGTTGTGTTTCAGAGTCTTGAGACATTTCCCACTCTCCAGGTTCCACACTGTTAGGGGCAAAGGGGAGAAATATTAAATATGTATGCCCCAACAACAAATTTTTCTGATTTAATTAAAAAAGACTATTGGAATTATAGTTGTGCCTTGTACCTGCAGCTCTGCATGGAGCAGGTGTTGGCTTAAAGAGTGTAATTGCATGGCAAAATTTTTAAATGTGAGGTCCAGAAAATGTCACATCCTTTTCATCCTTATTCTATAAGCTAACAAGCAAATCTCTGGCAAAGCTGGAAGTTGATACGACTCTCCCAAGACTTGGTCTAGCCCTATAGCCACAAAGCCATTGAAAATAAATAAAAGCAGAAATAATGAGAATTTATTCAATGACACAATCAGAGCCCTTGCGTGTGCATGTGTCAGCTTAGGCTGTTCTGGAAGCAAAAGTATGAGACACTAAAATTCACCTTCCAATTTATAGACTTAGTTTGCTGCTCACACACTGCCTGTGTCACACTCATCACAACTCCCACATACTCTCCCCATTGCTCACTACTGTTTGCCTTTGGCTGGGAAGCTGCTGGTCTTGGCTCTCACCTTTCACCATCCCATCTCTGGCTCCTGACACAAGCTGCTCTTCATGTAAATCCAAGCAGGTGATTGTCCCACAGTGACCATTAAAGATTTTCGTACAAGCACCACTGTATATATTCCAGCATCTACAAAGGACCGACCAAAAAGGGAATACTGATTAACTTAATTGATGGCTTATTCATCTTATTTGTTATTTCCTACTTAATGGGCCCAGCTCTTCTCCCATACACACTGGGTTAAAATGAGGAGTCATTCCACTAAGGTGTCAGAGGACTTGGAATGATGAAGTCAGGCTTAGTATTAAATTTTTACCCATATACTTTGTTCTGCCTCCAAACTGCCTGGAAACATGTGGCTAGATTTCACCTTTGGCATGGTTACCTTCAGTTGACCTTAAAATGTAGAGCTTTACAAGATAAGGTTGTTTCTTTACTGGCTGGTGCCAACATGATTTCTTTTGACTTTATCTAGAGAACTCAAGCCTGCACTTAAAAAAACAGCCCTTTTGGAGCAGGGAAGACAGAGCCTTAATCCATGTAAACTCTTTCCCCTTTTGTTAAATGCTGCCTTTGATGAAGTTGTGCAATGGCCGTGCCAGAACCAGACAATCTGCTGCTCAGCTTTTCACCCCTGTCCTGCTTTTGGCTGGGATAGAGTTAATTGTCTTCCTAGCAGCTGGTATAGTGTTATGTTTTGGGTTCCGTATGAGAAGAATGTTGATAACACACTGATGTTTTCAGTTGTTGCTAAGTAGTGTTTAGACTAAGTAAGTCAAGGATTTTTCAGCTTCTCATGCCCAGCCAGCAAAAGGCTGGAGGGACATAAGAATTTGGGAGGGGACACAGCCGGGGCAGCTGACCCAAACTGGCCAAAGGGATATTCCATACCATGAGACGTCATGCCCAGTATATAAACTGGGGGGAGCAGGGCTAGGGGGGTGGCTCAGGATCTAACTGGGCATTGGTCGGCGAGTGGTGAGCAATTGTGTTGTGCATCACTTCTTTTGTATATTCCAATCCTTTTATTATTATTGTAATTTTATTATTGTTATTATTATAATTATTAGTTTCTTCCTTTCAGTTCTACTAAACTGTTCTTATCACAACCTAGGAGTTTTACCTTTTTCTCTTTCCCCCACTTCTCTCCTGGGTTGGGGAGGGAGTGAGTGAGTGGCTGCGTGGTCCTTAGTTACTGGCTGGGGTTAAACCATGACAACCCCTTATCATGATACTCTTGGGATTTAGTGATAAATGTGAGAGCTGATCATCTCCACCCCTTGTTTCAGGGTGCGGTACCTGGAAAGGAGCAGCTGTACAGCAGGTACCAGGGTGTTGGGCCTTCTCAGCACAACAGGCCTTCTAAAATGTCACAGAGAAACCCAGCCTCCCTGAACTTGATGCTAACATTAGCAAGGCCAGAATCTCACCGCAAGTGCTTATTTGAAACATATCTGGTGTTTTAAGATACTTTATGAAAACCTGTGCATCACTGTATCTTTGTATTTTATCACTCAGTACTGGGTGAAACTGGGAAACATAAGCTATCCTATGTGAGTGGGGGATGTGTTCCCTTATTTACTGTCCTTTCTTCATTACTCTAATGAAAGTGGTGGAAGGAGGATTCTTAAAGATTGGAGTGGAAGGATTAAAGTTTCATTTTTCCTAGATTTGCTGGGGGCTGGTATCCCATGGCTCAGTCCCAGCACTGCTCACCTGATGCTGAGATCGAAGCTTGCGCTGAGAACGAACCCTTTCTTCTCATTGAGGAAGAGTGCTTTAATGCTCCCAGCATGGCCAGAGAGGAGAGGTGGCACTTCTTTCATTTCTGACATACCAAGAAGCCTCACTTTTCGGTCTGCAGAGCCAATGGCTACCAAGTTGCCACCACTGTAATGGATTGTTCTGCTTTGGTCTGATCTGGACAAGAAACAGTGACTGAGATGAGCTTTAGCCAGCTAACAAGGTATAAGAGGTCTAAGACTGTGACAGACATTGCTCCAATGTTTAATGGTCCTCACTGAGCAACCTGAAGGGCAATACTCTTAAGCAGGTGAATCCTTTGCAGGGCAACACAACCAAGGTCCCTAGTTCTGCATACCCAAGTTTGTATCCGGAAGGTAAGCTTAATGAGGGGAAAGGGCTCTTCCTGGCCCCATATCCCTTGTGGTACACTGTGGATCACTAACCCGTATGTCTTTAAAAAATAGCTTATCTTGGTATCCTTATAAAAAACTGGATTTGACACTGAGGATTTCTTAACACTGATGCCGAGAGACCCTTCTCCAGCCATACATTCTCACACAAGGATCGCAGGGAACGGACATGTTTTCAGAAGCCACTGTTGGCCCTGTAGCCGGGCAGTCTACTCACTGGTCCATGAGGACACGAATATTGTAGGAGCCACAGAAGACATTTCTCTCTTCCAGCTGGATTGTGTCAGTTTTCAGATCATGATAGGCTGCCTGCAGATTGTCTTCCTCCTCCTGATGCAAAGAAAAATAGGGAGAAGTAACTCAGGGAGGGAGGAATGCAGCATTAATCCATAGTATTAAACATATCAGCTTGGTCCCCACTATAGCAATGAGACCAACAGGGACAGAAAGTGTTGGTAAGGAACACCTAGACTGCAGGAACTTCCTGGTTAGTGCAGAAACAGGGGTTGTTTCTATGCTGCGTTCCCCGGCAAAAATGGAAGACCTGACAGCTGCACCCTTTATTCTTTGGGTAAAAGGCCGTGTCCTTGTGATGCTGCACAACCTTGCCACCACCCCCGGCCTCAAGGCTACACATGTGACTGGGGGACGCATTAGGACAAGGCAGGAGTTCAGGGGTGCAGGCTCCCTCCCATGCAAGAAGGTGCTGAGCAAACACTGGTTCTTATGAACTGCTCACGATGGTGCAAGGCAGAAGTAGAAGTGGGAGAAGAGCAAAGCAACTCGGAATTCACTATCCTGTCTTCCAAGACCATGTCCTCCTTCCTCCCCAAATACTGAAATGCAGGATCCATGGAAGGCAAGCAACTTCCAATATACCTTTGTTTTACTTCCCCAGTTGTGGCGTTCCATTTCGATGACATCACCCTCTTCGTTTAACTGCGGAACTGTCACATCAACTGTTTTAGCATAGTTTGAAACTGCTCCTCTAGGGCACAACCCCTGGAATAAACCAGTAGAGGCAACACAGTCACTGCAGAGCCCAGGCACACAAAAGATGCTGCTCATGTGCTGATGCTTTAGAATCCCATGGGATGCTGAAGTTACATGCAAAGCTGAGCTGCACACACTGGCTTGTTGTTATTGTTTAAGAGACCTGGCTTGTATTTACCACTTTGATGGTATAAGATTTAACTTCTTGTGAGAAATAATTGCTTTTTATTTTTTTCCAAACTCCAGTCTTAAGCTTTAATAAGCTGCAAAATTTCAAAGCGCATCTCATCTTTGGTGAGCACTCAGTTGATTCAGAATCCAAACCCAGTGAGGTGAGAGGCTCTCAAAACATCTTCGATATTTAAGATTCATTCTTTATGTGTGAAACCTTCCATTAAGCCTTCTTTGAATGCTAGCACAGAGCTCAGATTTCTACGCTCTTTTCACAAATCAAAGCAAAGACTCCTAACTATCTCTTTGCGGATTTACCTTTACACTTAGCATGGTGCATGGCAGGTCTGTACTAACCAGGACAATCCTTTCGTAGAAGTTCTGCTTTACTGTGTCCCAACCACCAGCTCTGGCTTCTCATGAAGAAACCTAGCATTTCCATCTTCCTATGTGGAACAAATAAAGCTCTTTTTTGAGCTGCCTCAGGGAGCCACTGTAGCTCTGCCCAATTTCCACTAGCTCCTGGGAGTCCAGTATTTGCATTTGTGACCAAACTCTGCTTTCCTGATTACAAGAATGTTTTGATCCATTTTTAGAGATACAGACCCTTTAGAGGTCAGTAAAAGCTATTCTGTTGTGCTTACTTTTGACAGTATGAACATCTAACTTGGCTTAGCTCTGCAGGTGGAGGAAGAAGGAACAGGGCGAAGTTGGGAGGTAGCCTGTAGTAAAAGCATCTCCACTAACGGCTTGGGCAGTAGCAGAAAGACACCCTCTTTTTAAAGTGCGTAATAATAGCAGAACCCCAGGCATCATACCTGCAAATACAAGATCTTCTCCTGTACTATGCTTTGACACACACGTTCCTTCTTGACTTCTTTGGCCAGAAAATCCCAGCATCTACTCACAGCAGCACATGCACTGAGGGATTTTTGATCCAAAAGCCCTGAGAAATTAAAGGGACAGATTGGCTTACCCCTCTCCACACTAGAGACCATTCATTACCCTTAGGGGAAACCACCCTTGGAAAAATCAGAGCAGCTTTACCCAGGATGTAGATGGACAGGTGAGGTGGCAGGCAGCGAATGAAGTCCTTGGACTGGTTGGCATTAGAGGGTGACTGGGGAGATGCAGGAGCCACAGTGACATCTTGATCAGCTAAGGACATAATAGGTGAGTTGTCCTCTGCATCAGGACCCTCCTGGATGAGGTACTCAGTGTTTCGGGGCCAGAAGCACATTGCTGGTCGTTGACCACCTAGAAGACAGGGGAATTTACAGTCTTGTGAGTGCTTGAGCTTTGGTGGCCATTAACAGTTCTGTTGTTAGTAATGTACTGCAAGAGATCTTAATCTGACTCTTCTGCTAATCCCTTTGGTGCTGTACCATTCAAAGGAAAATGCTGAAAACACGCAGGGTCTTGCAGTACAGTTCACACCAGTGGGGTTTGAGGGCAGAGAATGACAGCTCTTCCCACTCACCACTGCCCTGAAGGGTAGCGAGGACTCTTCATGGCTGGAAAAAATCAGGTGATCAGAGGGGCCACAGGAGACCTTGGTGACAGTGAGCTTGGTGGGGACACAGTGTGACAGTTTTCTCTTTACAACACAAGGTGCTTTACCTCCTCCACCTCTATCTACAGCAGTCACCAGCATGGGAGGGTGACTGTCCCAAACTCTAAAGGGGAATACAAAAACAACCTCATGCCAAGGACATAGCACTTCTGTCCTGAAAAGAGTGAAAAATATTCTCTTCCTTTAGCCATTAGATTTTCTTCAGTAAAAATATGACTTGGGTTATGACATTGTGGAAGGAAAAGAAAGGGGGACAAATTTCTGTTGTCCCTGAGATAACAAATGGGTAAACACACCTAATGCCCTTCTCACATTAGTTGTTTTTGCTGGTGTCCACATACACCTCTAGCATCTTTGCCAAACTTCAGTCCCCCCCAGTGTAAGGCTTTCCTTCCTTTTAGGCACAACACCAGCCACAGCGTTACATTTTGGAATTCAGGTTGTGCTGGTGGAAGACCTTACACCTGGCAGAACAACATCTCAATCAGCAGAAGGGAAGACACTGTCTTTCATCTCTTCACTAAGAGCATACTGTCAGCACCTCGGCAAATTTGGGAAGTGACTCAGAGCGAAGATAGGCATCTGTTGAATGGCATCACCTCCTCTCGCATGGCACTTTGAACTTTCCAGCTAGCTATTGCCATGGTCTGCCATGCTTTTTTCCAAAATGACCCAGAACAGAACTGTACCTTGGCAGTGCCAGTTGTTAGTGTCCTGGTATGAAACACCATTGATTTTTCCCCTCCCAGTATTAAATACTCAGGTAGTGGTACCCATCATACTAAGCTGGCCAGTTCTTGCAAATGAGGTTTTACTTTTAAGAGCTGCAGAAGAAGTGCTAACAGACCATAGTGGAAATTGAATCCGGGCACTGGGCTGAGGACAGTTGTCTTCCTTGAAGGTGCTTTGGGATTCAGCAAATGATCCATGTACATCTTCATGTGGAAGAATTAAGCAAAGAGTCAAACCTTGAGAGTAGGCATCTTGGAGCTGAATTAGGGGATTACAGAAGTTAAAATAGTATATTAAGTATCTAATAAATAAATAATGCTATATTATTTATTCTGTCCCTTCCAGCTATGCAGAATTAGTCCCTTCAGTGCTTTCTTTAGTATGGTTTTCATTACTTAAAACATTCAATTCACAACCACGCCTCCAGAGATGTGTTGCCCAGGATTCATGAGGAAGTTTTTTTCATTACATTGTTGTCAACTATGCTCCATTATAAGCTATATTCCTCTTCCCTTTAACGATCACCTCATTTACAGGGTTACTGCACACTGGCGCAGGCATACAGGCTGGCACTGAGGCAGAGCCAGCCCTAGGAGGCTGATGCTGGGTCAGGATAAAGCTCCTAGCTCTGAGTCCCACTGGCCCCATCTCCTGCTGCCAGGAACACCGCGTTCCCTCCATGACTTGTGCTTGCCCCTGGCTTTGCCCACTCATTTCCTACAGCTGGAAGGATCAGAGACCTAAACGATATCAGATTTGCAGTATGAACGAGAAGGTTAATAGCATAAGGCAAATAAAGCTACAATTAACAGTTATGTCGGTTGGGCAGTTTCTTTTAGCAGTTACCCTTTGTACTGCCCCCATGGGGAGTTTTGCCACATGCAATAAAATACCTGCTAAGGAGGGGAACAGCCAGAGCAGCAGCAGCATGAACGGCCAGCCTGCTGCAGGTGACCGAAAGGAACCTGGGTAATGTTATCTCCATCTGAGCATCACCCCTGGACCACAGGGCTCATACCCAAGAGGTGGCTCTGACACAGCCTGGGCATCTCCCCCGACTGTGGGCTGGCCCAGAGCATGACCTGAGAAAGCTCAGGGGCAGATCTTGATCTCCAGGACAAACAGAGGGTGACTGCAGCCCTCCACACTCCCCGAAGCACAGGAGATACCTCCCGAACAGCTGATAATCCCAGCCCTACCACTCTGCAAACAAAAGCTCATTCCCTGGAGAAGGAAGAACACCGGCAAAGGCTGTGTGCTGGTCCTCTCTGCCACCAGCCCCGCAGGGAAGGCCTCTGTTAAAAGCCACGCACCCTGGTCCTGGGTGACACCGTCCTGCCCGGTGCACAGACCAGTTACCGTCACTTTGTGTTCAACTCGGCCACTTTGCAAGTCTCAGCTGGGAGAAACCGAGAGGATTTTTGGAGCTCAGGGGAATCCGGCACAGCCCCACCAAGGCAATACCTGCCTTTCCCATGCTGATAACCTCAAAAGGCACTAAAGGGAAAACCACCACGGCACCAGCCCCCCCAAACCCCGCCGGCCTGCCTGCCCTAGGTGCGAGGGTTTGGGTCCCCCGCTTTCTGCCTGATAAGCAGTCCATGAAGCATCACCTGAAGATCTGTTCCGTGTCCCAGCATCCCCACTCCCGGGCTCAGACAAGACCATTTATCCCCCGCCACCGGCCCCGGGGATGCTGCCGGGGATGCCGGAGCCCCGGCCCCGCCGTTCGGTACCGCCCGCCCATCCCCGCCGCGTCGCGGCTGCTAGGAGACAGCCGCTACCGTATTGCTGCTAATAGCCGCCCCTCCCGCCCGCAAAGAGTCGCTAAACGGCACCCGGCGGGTTTCGGGGTGCCCGGGCAGCGAGGATGGGGAACCCGCAGGCAGGGCAGGGGTCCCGCAGAGTCCCCGGAGCACAAGTCAGCCTGGAAAGCAAAGCAAAGGGATGGAAAAAGTCCCGGGGAAGTGGGAGAGCAGTCGGTCTTCGGACATCACGGCGTTTGGGTTTTTAGACACAGAAACCAATAAATGTTAAGCCGGACAGCGCTGATGCAGGGGGTGTTTGGGAAGAGATTGTGCAAAGGTGCTTCACAATCAGCTTGCTTCAGTCTAACACACATTTTTTTACTTAGTTTCAAGTCCCAAGCTTCCCCAGGCTGAAAAAACAGAACTCATTTAGTCATCTAATGAGTCAAAAATGCATGTAGAGTAAGAGTAAAGGCTGGTTCATCCATCATTTGGGAGAAGGTAGGAGGATTAACTAGGTCATTAAAAAAAAAAAACAAAAACAAAAAACCAAAACCCACGCACACACAAACTTTTGACAAGAAGAAAGAGCATTGCAGAACAGCAGAACGGGCAGGCAGCAACAAACTCATACCCCCTCATCCCTTACACAGACAGGCACAAATGCATTAGCACAGCAGGGCCACATACCTGGGTCTTGCTCTGTGTATGGCAGGTTTGGGTCTTTCACTTGTAGAAGGAGTGGAAAAGACAGCGCTGGATGGGAACACAACACTCTCTGCCCTGCAGAGATTTCAGTGCTGCCGGTGCAGTGATTTCAAGTTTGGTGCATGCAAAACAAACATGCTGTGCGAAGCTGGCAGCCCTACGGGCTCGGGCACACAAGCCGCCATCCCACACACACCCCCATGCAGGATTTTAACACAACTCTTTGGCAGAAGGAGCAGTGAAAAGCAGGGCTCTAGCCTCAGCCATTCTTCTCCACAGGGTTGTTTTCCTACCACAAAGAGCTACCTACAGCAAATTCACCCCTATTCATCAGTTCCAAACCCAGCTACAGGCTGCCTCTGTATGCTTCCTTGTTTAATTAAATCAAACTTGGAGTTCCCCTCTGCAGAGATCACAACCCCTCCCAGAGATGCATTTCACCACCTATGCACAGAAATGCTCCTCTCACAATGGTATCTAGGAAATAATCTTTACTTGCAAAATGGTCCATTTGGGGTGGCAGCACCCACCATCGAGAAACTGCTGGCCCAGGGTGAAAGAAGTCTCCAGCATCCCCCATCTCACCTACCTGCAGGAGGGCACAGGCACCTCTCCCCAGGGCAGGCTCCCTGCAATCCCCCTCTCCATGCCTGCAGGGATGTGCAAGCATCCCAGCAAGCCAACACCCACCAAAACCAGCCCCGAGATCCCCCATATAACCCCAATTGCCTCCCTGCCCTCCAGTCCCAGGCTTCAGAGAGACCCCAAGCCCCGCTCCTGAGACGATACCCTCTGCAACAAGCCTGACACCCTGGCCAGAGGGAACAGGAGGGCTGGGAGCACGTCCCACACCACCAGCTCCTCTCACATAACCCCCCGAGTTACTTTACCAGCTGCACATAAGTACACAGAGCTGAACCAACACCTGAGGGTATTTGCTAGAGGTAAATATTGACATGGAGCACAGCACAGCCTAGCAGCTGAGATAGCAAGCTGAATACTTTTATTTTTTTATCTCTGTTCTCCCACGTAGTCTTCCTAAGCTACAGCTCTTCTGTGCTGCAACTCAGCCCTTTTATTGGAAACCTGTGCTCCTTCTCCAGCTGGAACAATTTTGCTGGAGCTCAGGTGGTTCTGCCTATCCCTGATGCAGGCAGGGCTGCCTGCCTGGGGAGCCCTCCCCACGGTCAGAACCATGGGGATTAGTGTTTTGAAGCAAGCAATAAATTCCTGAGATGTGTAAGATTCATTTGAAGATTAAAGCTGTGGAGGCAAATCAGCTAAAACAAACTGAATGTTTTCCTGGCTCAATCTGTCCTGGGACACACAAAAACCTGGGAAAGATGAAGACACCCCAGGAACAGACATGGAGCTGAAGTCCCGTATCTGGGAGGTTTGCACTGGGAAGCACTGGATGCAATGGGAAACACACTGGTTTTCCAAGACCTGGAGACACATTCAGCTGCCTGCTGGTGGAAGGAGGAGCCCAAGCCATCACTGAGGCTGGGCAGGGTGGGCATGTGTCTGGGTCATTTTTCCCTTGCACAGGTATTTAAAGAAAAAAACCTTTTTTTTAAAGTCCCAATATTTTGGAATAAAGGCTGGAGCATACCTGGGGGCTAGCAAGTAAATTCCTCTTCATGCAGGGGTGGTTAAAGCAGCGCAAGCACAGAAGGCATACTGAGCACCCTGAGAAGGAAGCAGTGACTTTGGTGGCAAAATACTTCTCGCTTCCCAAGCACAGCACCCCTCTCCTATAACACATTTCCCCCCGCACATCATTTTCTAACATTTTGATGGCCTAAAGGTTGTTCACAAAGTCTTCATCCCTGTGCAATGGGATGCAGGGATGGGAGTGAGCGTGACTTGCAGTCGCAGACTTTCTGTAATGCTGGAGGGTCCAGAGAGGGGGCAAAGCAGGGAAGCAGAAGTATTAGGCGCTTGTCACCTTGGTTGTTGTGGCTGGCTCGCACACCACCTGTGAAGGGCAGGGAAGCCTGAGCATCACCGCCCTTACATCAAGAGGCACTGTGAATGTCCTTATAAACACCAGCATCCAGTTACGACAGTTATTTTTATTGCAGAAGCACTCTTAATCTCTCACCAAATGAGAGGGTGCCCAGCTCAGCTGGGGGAGCAGCCCTGCCACATGGAGCTAGAGGCTCAATCAGAGCCGATAGGTACGGGAGGAGGAAAACCAGTACTGTCTTCTTCATGTTACTGGGATGTGGAAGGGAAGGGTTGGGAGCAGGTTGCCCATGGAGCTGGTGGCAGAGATGTGTGGCAGCTCTCTGAGGAGTTCAAAGTGACCCTCCTGCTTGGTGGCTGCTGCTGTAGCATTCATGGTTGCATGGCTTGCTCTGACTTCAGAAGAAATGAAGGCACCTGGAAGACCCCTTCCTTCTGCCCGCGGCTTTCAGCTTAAGAGGACACCCGGCGTCAAATAGTGAAGAACTTGCCCGGTATTGCCCCCTTCTCTGTCTCAAGCCATAGGGAGAGTAAATCCATCTCGTAGTCAATGGCAAGCTGGAAGGTGAAGCTCTGCAGCAGTGTGGTGAGGAAAAGGAAGAGCTCGATGCGGGCCAGTGCCTCTCCTGGGCACATCCACTTCCCTGGGGGAACAGAAAGCCGAGGGTGAGCACTGGGCTGATGGCTTCATCCAGCATTTGAGGGAAAAAACAGCATAAAAGGAAAGCGAGAAAGCTCATATTAAGGTATAACTTTGGTGCCAACTGATATTCATGCTGGTGGACCCTGGAGCAGAGCCACTGCAGGCAGGGTGCAGGCAAAGGCGGCGTGCGGGGCTGAGCACTGACCTGCCGAGAAAGCCAGGAAGGATTCGCGCTTCCTGAACTTGCCCTTCTCATCCAAGAAGTGGCCTGGGTTGACTTCTTTGGGGTTCTCCCGCTGGGTTGGATCCGTATGCACAGAATAAAATACCGGAATAACAGTTGTGCCCTGCGGGAGAGGGATGGGGCAGGGGAGGAAGGAGGGACATCAGTACGACGACACAGGGCTCTGCTGAGATGGATTAGGAGTGAGGAACGTCTGAGGAGCACGGCGGGGAGGCTGGGTGCACACCCCGATGCCCACCCAGATGCCTGTGGGGAGGCAGCCCGGAGCGATGGTTCTGTGTCAGGCAGGGACAACTAACACGGGGCTCCACTGTCCCCATGGTCCTGCCGGTCTCTGCGCAGCTCATGAGACAGAAATTATTGAGTTATTCCCATTGATTTATGTTAAAACCCCTCTCGCTGCACAAAGTCCAAAGGAGGGAGGTGTTCCTTCAAGGTGGGTGCTGTACAAAATGCTTGCGGTCAAACCGGGATGGGTGGCTGTCCCCAGATCTGCCGAGGGGCGGGGGCTGGCTTGGTCCCGTACCAGGATGAGCTCAGGCTCCCAGCCCCAGCAACCCTGCACATGTTCCTGGGGGAAAGAGGTGTTTTCCAGAACAGGCAAGGGACATGGGTGTGTGGGCAGAACTGGCAGCAGCGTTCACCTCCCTCTACTCCTCTGCTAAAAGGTTTATCGCCATCTCCTCCCATTGAGGATTGGGAAAGGCCTGGGACCTTCAGGAGTGAGCAAACAGTCCGGGGACAAAGGCAAATCTCATTCAAGCCCCTCTGCCACCCCTCCCCTCAGGGACACAGAGGCTTCAGGGTCACAACTTCTACCTTGGGGATGGTGTGGCCCCTGAACACGATGTCCTGCGCCGTCATCCATGGGAAGTTCTCCATGTGGGTCCTGCAGAAGCGCTGCAGCTTGTGGATCACCGCGTTGGTGTACGGCATCCTCAGCTTGTCCTCCGACCTGGGAGCGCAGCCAGTGCCCACCACCGCATCAATCTCCTCTTGGACCTTGGCTGGGAAAAGGCAGGTGTGGAGCTGCAGTGCTTGCTGTGCAAAATGCCCCCTAATTTCTTACTGGCCTCCATGGGCACCTACCCTAGAGCCAAAGGATGATCTAGCAGAGAGGGAGCAACCCAGCACAACCTCTTGTAGAGACCAGAAACAGGGTCTCTGTCCGCATACCTCCCCAAATCAGGCAGGTTCAAAGCATCTCTCATAGGCCAGTCTGGGGCCATCTGCACAGGCAGGGATGGAGAAAAGGGAGCAGGTAGCTGGATCTCTCTGGCCTGTGTGAATCTGTGTCTAATGGCTCTCACCCTTGGGTGCCCTATGCAGGATGATTTTGGTCTCCTGCAAACAGGCCCTCCAGGACTGGGACTGTCTGTCTGCACCTTTGCTGCACCATGACCTCCTCAGGCACAGGAAGCAGTCGCATTTTGCTGCCCTTACCTTGAATATGGGGGTATTTTGCCAAGATCAAGAGAAAGAAGACCAGGACGTTGCTAGTAGTCACTGTTCCGGCACCAAAGAGGTCGAATACTGACATGACCAAGTCTTCATTGCTGTACATGTTCTCCAGGCTGCTCTTCTCCTGCAAGGATGCAGTGGGGAGGGGATTCAGTATTGTCTGAGTGCTTTTCCAGGCTGCAGCCAGGTCTGGGGACCACACGTATCCCATGAGGCTGTTGTGTGCCCTCTGCCTGCCGCAGGGGCCAGGGTGGACAGGACCCATGTCACCTTTGAGTTTTGCTAGTAGTTCCACCGAGTGCTGGGCCTCCTGCTGCACCCGCTGCGACATGCAGTTCTTTCCCATCCCGAAGTCCCGCAGGGTGCTGAGCGTGAACCTCCACAGCTCCTGCCACTTCTTCTCATTGCTGGAGACAAAACCTGGAGGGAGGCAGTGGAGACCACTCACCTGCCCACCCTGCCGCTCCTCCCCAGGAACAGGGACCCTGCTCTGAGCCCAGCTGAGGAGCAATAAGGCAATAAGCCAGGGAATGACCCTGGTGTGCGCACAGTGTCCTTGAAAGGCTGAGGATCTTTACAGAAACTCAGAACAAAGCTGGAACTGACTAACTGGAATTAATACTTTCCTTGGACAAGAGGTTTAATAGTTGGAGGGACTTGCAGAGTGGGAAATGGGTGTGTGAGGTCTTGGGTGTTGAGTCCTTCACTGAACTTGAGCATGACCAGCTGCAGTTGGGAACTTTCTGCTCACCCAGAGAGCAATAGTGTCTAGAAGAAATCCAGACACCTACCGTAGTCTTTTGACAGCTGCAACAGAAGGGGTATTTCAGGTCTCCCTCCAAACTCCTCGGAGTGGCCCAGCAGAGCATCCTTCACCACCTCATACCTACAGAGCACCACCACCGGCTTCAGCCCCAGTCAGACGGTGAAGATGGGCCATACCTGCTGCCGAGCTGGGGGAAGGATGGGAAAGCTGTGAGGAATGAGGGTCCCACACCCCAGCCGTTCATTTAATTTTAAATTAGGTCTCGTGGCCACAGTGCTGGTGAGTGCACAGGCAGGGAGGGGAAATGCCTCCCTCGAAGCCGGCGTCCTTGCCCTGCTCCCATCCCAGCCCTCTCTCTGGGGGGTTTCTGATCCCAATGCCACTTTGGGTGTTCAAAGCATGTGGGGGGTTGACCCTGGCTAGATGCCAGGTGCCTGCCAAAGCCATTCTATCACTGCCCTGCCTCAGCTGGAGAGGGGAGAGAAAATATAACAAAGGGCTCATGGGTCAAGATAAGGACAGGGGGAGATCACTCAACCAATTACCGTCACGGGCAAAACAGGCTCAACTTGGGAAAATTAACTTAATTTATTACCAATCAACCAGAGTAGGGTAATAAGAAATAAAACCAAATCTCAAAACACCTTCCCTCCCCCCCTCCCTTCTTCCTGGGCACAGTTTCACTGCCGGATTCTCTACCTACCCCCTGCAGCGGCACAGGGGGACGGGGAATGGGGGTTATGGTCAGTTCATCACACGTTGTCTCTGCCACTTCATCCTCTTCAGGGGGAGGACTCATCACACTCTTCCCCTGCTCCGGCGTGGGGTCCCTCCCACAGGAGACAGTCCTTCACTAACTTCTCCAACATGGGTCTTTCCCACGGGCTGCAGTTCTTCCCGAACTGCTCCAGCGTGGGTCCCTTCCACGGGCTGCAGTCCTTCAGGCACAGACTGCTCCAGCGTGGGTCCCCCACGGGGTCACAAGTCCTGCCAGAAAACCTGCTCCAGCGTGGGCTCCTCTCTCCACAGATCCACAGGTCCTGCCAGGAGCCTGCTCCAGCGCAGGGTTCCCATGGGGTCACAGCCTCCTTTGGGAATCCACCTGCTCCAGCGTGGGGTCCTCCATGGGCTGCAGGTGGAGATCCACTCCACCGTGGACCTCCGCTCCACCGTGGACCTCCATGGGCTGAAGGGGGACAGCCTGCCTCACCATGGTCTTCCCCATGGGCTGCAGAGGGATCTCTGCTCTGGCGCCTGAAGCATCTCCTCCCCCTCCTTCTTCACTGACCTGGGGGTCTGCAGGGTTGTCTCTCTTACATGTTCTCACTCCTCTCTCTGGCTGCCATTTCTGTCTGTCCCAGCAACTTTTTTTTCCTTCTTAAATATGTTCTGCCAGAGGCACTACCACTATTGCTGATGGGCTCGGCCCTGGCCGGTGGTGGGTCCATCTTAGAGCCGGCTGGTATTGGCTCTGTTGGACACAGGGGAACCTTCTAGAAGCTTCTTACAGAAGCCACCCCTGTAACCCCTCCCGCTACCAAAATCTTGCCACTTAAACCCAATATAGCCTGCCTGCATGTCTGCCTTCACTTAAACCATGCTGCTCTTTCCTACATGCACCTCTGCAGTGTCTTCTCTTCTCTGGGAAGCAGCTCTGGATGGCAGCAGTGCTGCAGCCTGGAGAGGGGTTACTGTCACTGCCATGGGTCCATTACAGGAGAAGAAAGACTTCAAAAACAGCATTGATTACGCTACCAGTAGCAGGGGTTTAGGCAATTCTGGCAGAGCAAAAGAAAAGGGAGGGGAAAAAGAGAAAAGAAAGGTAGGAAAAGAGCCACCTGCACTATTCCCCTTTTATTTTGACATGGGACATTCATGCTTTCTCTCCTGCCAGGGCTGGGAGTGGGTCTGGCGCCGCCAGCTCCTCTCTTACCTTCTCGTAGGTCCTGTAGAGGGGCAGGACGTCCTTTTGCCATAGGTTGCCCAGAATGGGCCATGAGGCTGGTCCAGGCGGCAGCTGGCTTCTCTTCTTATTGCTTCTCCAGACCAGGAACCACAGGATGGAGAGGAGGAAGAGGTTAACAAGCACCCCAGCAGGTCCAGGATCCATTCTCGCCCATGCTGCCTAGCAGGGAAAAGAAATCAAGAATTTCCTCCTCCAGGGAGAAAATCACAACTGAACAGTGAGCAGAGAGGAGCCGAAACGTGCTGCCTCTGCCCTTCCTTGTGCTTTATATAGGCAGAGCCCTTCCTACATCCCCAGGGTCATCCCCTGCGTCCCTCGCAATCCCCAGGCGGTCAGTGACACAAACACTGGTTTCTCCCAGCCAAGCACACACCTGGCCACAGCGTGTTGTAACACGGCTCTCAAAGGGCTGACATAGGGTGCTGGAAGCATTGCAAACCCCCACAGGCATGCTGGGGGAGACAGCGGCTCTCCCCTCCCTACGTTGCTAAGTTACTTTTTGCTCGGTGCTCCCTTTCGGTGGTATGTGATGGAAGAAGTTGTCACCATCCTGGCAAAACCTCGCATGTCACCGTCAGGTCATTGCTTGTTTTGTTGTTCCCTTGCTTACCAGTGCAGTGACCCAGGAGGGAACATTCTTGTAAACAGAAACTGAGGGAGCCTGGGAGTGGGGCATGTGCGGCTGGTCAGGTACCTGTTGGGTGATCAAACTCCTTTCTGATGGAAAATGGATCAGAAAATAGGAAAGCCACATTTTTTTTTCTGAAATAATTTGGTGTTCTGCTTGGGTTTTGAAGGAACGTCAACCCAAGGTGTTGTGGTTGTTGCAGGTGGGGGGTTAACTCTTCCCTGGGCTCCTCCAGCCTCTTCAGGGCTCCTCTGATGTTTTTGAGCATCTCGCTCTGAGCACCAGTACATCTGGCTGCACGTGAGCACATCTGGCACTGCCTCAGCCACCACGCCTCTGGTCAAGAGCGCTCGCAGCCCTTGGCTGAGCGAGCTGGTCCCAAGCCAGTTCCCAGCAAAGGATGTGATTTCTCCTGGAGGAGAGGGCTGGAGGAAAAGAGAGAAGAGGTTTGATTTCATGCTAGTCCCTGCAGTGGAAGGAGACCCTCAGCAGAGGGCATTAAATGGTATTTGCTGAGAGGAGCCTGAATTATAACGCCCACCCAGAGCAGAGCATCTCCCAGCATCCAGCCGCAGGATGAATGGCTGGGAGCCAGGATTGCGTTTGGGCAGGGCTGATAGAAACAGCCAGGACCTCTGCACTTGCACCCTTTTTTGGCCACATAGTAGGGCAGTTCACAGGTGTCGGGCCAGGGATGCTCAGCACTGCCAGCCAGGCTTGTCCCAGCCAGGCTCTGGGGGTTGCTTTCCTGTGGCCACGGTGCAATTCCTTACGCATACGCACCAAATCTCTCTCAAATCACCAAAAAGTGACTGGCAATGAACCTCCTGCAGCCCTGGGACTGCTCTGTTTCAATATTTTTACTTTTTTCCCCCATGCCCCATGCTGCTGGGGGCCGGAGGGGGCTCCTGCCTTGACCAACACTGCAAATGCACTCAGCAAAAGGGGTTTTGGGGGGAAAGGGTCATGGCAGCTGGATGGGCAGCCCCGCAGCAGTGCCACGAGCCCTGTAGCTGGGACCCACTGGGGCTGAGGCCAGGAGGCTGCTGTGACTCACTTGTTTACCCTGTCCCATCCCATCCCATCCCGTCCTTGCTCTTCCCACGGTCTGCTCTGAATTCTTGGCTTGGGTGCTTGCAAGTGGGGAACTTTGCTTGGGGAGGTGATGTAGTGACTGGAATTTTGGCGGGGGGGGAACAGCCTCTCAGTGACTGACACCGTTCTTTTCCATGGCAGCCAAACAATACAAAGGAATCACTCAAACAACAGGAAAAGAAACAGCCGTGGGGATTAATTTGAGCTGCAAAGTTTAAATCCGATGGAAAATTCCCTCCTCTGCGGGCGAGCTCAGGCAAAGCCTGTGGCCACCTGCCTGGACACCAATAGCATTTCAGTGCAACACTCATTTCTACAGAAGTTTTTTTGAAAGGTGAATGTCTCCAATGCAAAAAAAAGCATTATTATATCACATTTTATTAACAAAATAGAGAAAACAAACTAATCACCCTGGAATTTGTGAGTCCAGATCACCAGACAAGAAGTTTAACAAGAAATAACTCCCAGGATGATGAAATTTTGCGTTTGTATTCTTGAACTGCTTGATGAAATTTTGCTTCAAGTTTCTCTTCATAATCTAGAGAGTAAATCAAACCAAAAGACCCAAAATGTAGTGTCCGTGTAGTATCTCTTGTCAAGTGTGCAGAAAAAAAGGGAAAGGTAGAAGCTGTCGACTAATCTTTTAGTAGCTGAACACCACTTTGCCTGAAGACAGCTCAGGAGGGAAGAGCACAGATGGGCTTTGGTGCAGCTGCTTTGGCACTTTGTGGGGCTTGGACCTAAAGTGAGCCCAAACTGCTTCATATGGACCCAAAACCATTGGTACTTTGTCCGTCTTTCTGCTGATTTTCTTATAAGGGCTTTTGGAGACCAAGGGTCTGTAGAGAAGCAGGCTGCTGCAAGGCTTTGGGATCCCTTCAGGAGCAGTTGGTGAGAACTTTCTGCCCCAAAAACTAAAATAGCAGGGAAGGGTCAGCTAAAAACCCACATGGAAAGACCCATGTGACATGAACAAAAAAAGGGAGAATATTTTGACTTCTAAAAAAATAAAAAATCCATTTAGAGATTGCCAGGGCCTTTGGATTTTAATTCAAAGTCATGTTTGGGGCCTAAATTCATGCAGAAATAACATGTAAAAGCAATCAGGGAGCAGAGCAGCCCCTGCCTGCCCCGTATTGTCTGGATGCTCCTAGGGCACAGGGGGGATGTCGGGTCCTGGCCATGCCCGGTCCCGGTGCCAGGATGGAGCCCGGCTCCTGCCTGCCACACTGCGGCTCTGCAAGGGATGGGGAAAAGCATTGCTCAATTAAATGGCCATGTTGCTGGATCAGACCCAGAATATATCAGAAGGGTAGGTTCAATGAGTTGGGAGAAATGACGCTCATGGGGTATTTTTTGGTGTAGACATGTATTTGGAAAAGCTGCAGGGCAAACACGGCAGTGCAGAAGTGGGAGAAGATTACTCCAGTTAACTAAAGAAGTCAATAAACTGTCTGGGTTATTAGATCTAGGAAGATCTGCTGGAGGAAATCATAATGGTTGTTCCTGTCTCTCAGCTAGCGCTTCTCTGTAGTCAATGTCAAAAACCTTGGCAAGGGTCAGGATATGTCCCATGTCACGGGGAGGAAGATGGAGAGCAGAGCCATGGCATGGCATGGCACGGCTGGGAATAGGGTCTGACTAGGGGCTCGCAGCCACAGAAACACCGAGTCGCAGGGGCTGGAGGCACCTCTGGAGGTCATCTCCTCCAACCTCCTGGTCCAGCAGGACCAGTGGGAGGAGGCTGCTCCAGGCCGTGTCTAGTTGGGCTTTGAATATCTCCAAGGATGGAGACTCCACAACCTCTCTGAGCAATCTCTTCCCATGTTTGAGCATCCTCCCAGTAAAATAGTATTTTCTTATGTTTAAGGAGAATTTCCTATATTTCAATTTATGCCCATTGCCTCTTGTCACCTTGGAGAAGCATCTGGCCCTGTCTCCTTTACCCCTCTCCATCAAGCATTTATCCACATGGATAAGATCTCCCTGAACCCTCTCCTCTCCAGGCTGAACCATCCCAGCTATCTCAGCTTCTCCTCATCGGAGAGATGCTCCAGGCCCTTAGCCTTTGCTGAACTGACTCCACCGTGTCCATATCTCTCTTGTACCGGGGAGCCCAATGTGGTACACGACACACCAGTGCTGAGCAGAGGGGCAGAATCTGCTCCTTGACGTGCTGGCGATGCTCTGCCTGATGCAGCTCAGGAAGCTGGTGGTCTTCTTTGCTGTGAGAGTGAGCGCATTGCTGGCCCACAGTCAGCTCGGTCTCCTCCAGGACCCCCAGGGCCACCTCTGCCAAGCTGCTTTCCAGCTGGGTGGCCCCAGCATGTCCTGGTGCCTGGGGCTGCTCCTCCCCAGAGGCAGGACTTGGCCCTTCCCCTTGCTGAACTTCACGAGGTCTCTCTCAGCCCATTTCTCCAGCCTGTCCAGGTCCCTCTGGATGGCAGCACGACCTTCTGGTGCACCAGCCACTGCTCCCAGTTTGGTGTCCTCTGCCAACTTGCTGAGGGTGCACCCTGCCCCATCGTCCACGTCATTAGTTAATGAAGATGTCAGCATTTCTGGAGACTACTGGTCCACAGGCTTTCAAACACAGCCTTTGTGGCAGCACCAAAGGGTAGCTGTTACACCGTGTGAGGCTTCAACCTGGGCTTTGCGAAGCCCACCCTACCTCCATGCCCTCCTCCTCGCACCCTTCGCATTGAAGCCATTTTTCAAGATCCCACCTTGGGTATGAAGCAAAGCTACGCCTGCGGGTTCCCCTGATCTCGTGCTTTGCTTCAGCTCTGCTGGCTTAGAGTAAGCTGTTACACTCATGCTAAGGCAATTAATATTATCCTAATGCAATTTGCTCCCGTCAGTAGCCCAAAGCCTCTGGAGGTGCTCTGCTCACCCCGGGACCTCGACCACACAGAACAAAGGATGCGTAAAAATAGCTGCAAACCATTTTAATCTCTCCCCCTTTCCCCTCTGCAAGCACAGGGGTGAGACAGCCCCAGCAGCCACTCGCTGCGTAGCCCAGGCCAGCTAATGACTAAGCTGGGAGTATTTTTGGTTGCTCTTAATAATGCAGCAGTACTCACTGCATCGGAGTCTGGCCGTAATTATAGGGCAAGTGTCATTTGTCATCGCTGTCATCTCCTCTCTCTGGGATGTAGCTCCACGGCAGCATGATGCTAAAGCACCTTTCACACTTCCTGGGGGTTGTTTCTGGGGTTTGCTATGGGATCCCTCAAGAAAATCCAGTTTTACACCACTGACCAACCCAGACCTGCCCCAGCCTGCGGGAGAGGCACGGTTTGATTTGTCTCCGTAATAAAAATGTCCCAGGGCTTTCTTTGGTGTGAGGCAGGCAAAGTGGTGGAGCAGCCCCCATTTATCTGCTCACCGTCCTCGTGCTGTTAGTCCTTGCCTGCGTGTC